AGCAAAATTTATTTTTAATATATTTAAAACTTGTGTCTGTGTGACTTTGGGTAGCCAAAGTTTCAAAATATCGGAGGTAGATATCATATATTGTAGGTTCTTCATTACAACCGATATGGGCGTAGATGTAATAGAAGAAAAGAAGGATACTCAAAACTAATTTTCCTCGTAAAGGTAATGACTGCGTTGAAACTTTTTTGATTTTTGAGACAAACACTTAAGTATAACCGGGTAGATAAAAATATAGTTAGTTGATAGCAATCATTCTTGATAACGAATTTTTAAATAAAGTTATATTAGTTTCATTTTTAACTTAAATTAAAGGAGGGAGAGTAGTAGCAGGGCTTATGTGTTGCTGGTTTTAGACAGTATTTTATATAGCACCTGTTGTTTTAATAATGGTCGGAGCATCCTAGTTGGGTCCCGAGTACTAGGGGCTAATCGCAGATAGTGTACTAGTTGGGTTCCGGATTTGTATAGGTACTACACTATTTGGGTCCCGGATTTTTATAGTTATTACACTAGTCGGGTCCTAAATTATTTTAGGTATTACACTAGTTCCTGAATATTTTTTGGTAAGTACTACATTATACTAACATTTTTCTTCCCATTTTAACAGATTTAGGACTGTCTATGATCTATTTAGACCACAGGTAAGGTTAAAAATGTATTTATATATTTTTTTTTTGTTTTTTAGTTTCTTTCCATTAAAATATAAATTATTAGAATTATGTTGGTAAAAATATTAAAAATGATAAAAATCAAGTATTAAAATACATATTATATAATATAATTGTAGCCATATAGGCAAATGAAAAAATTTTAAAAATGTTAAAATCATTATATAATATAAATAAAAATTAATGGAAAAGAAACGAAATAACAAAAAAAAACTATAAAAACATTTGTAACCATACCTGTAGTCTAAATAGATCATAAACAGTACAAAGACTGTTTAAACGGGAAGGAAAATATTAGTATAATATAGTACGTTCCAAAAAAATATTTAGGAACTAGTGTAGTACTTATAAAAATCCGGGACCCAATTAGTGTAGTATCTAAAATAATTTGGGACCCAACTAGTATAGTAATTTTAAATTCGGGACCCAATTTGGATGCAGCCACAACAGTGACGTGAATAACTTTAGTTTTTTTTCGTCATTTGATGGGCAATTTATGATTGAGGATGATGATATTTTACCCTTGACGTTTGGTACAGAAGCGGTCGTAGGTTTTTCTTCCAAATTTTGGAAGAAAATCATCTCACCATTGGAATCGTAAATAGTAGAAAGTTTTTTGGCAATGTATATTGAAATATAATTATCATATCTATTTTATATTGAAGTTCTTTTTTCATAGCGCATCGTAATGACACTGTTCTTTGAACTTTTCACTGATAACGGAGCGTAATCGGCATACTTGCGCACATTGCGACCAAGTAAACCGACTGACGATCAAAATTATTATTAACATAATGATGAGTATATGTAAAACTTTTGGAGGACAGATTTTTTTGAAATAAGTGTATATACCTACATTATATCATGGAGAAAATCCTTCAAAAAATTTAATTTACTCTCTTGGATTTCCTTAACTTAAGTCGCAAGTAAACATTTATTGCATTGTTTCTGATAGTACATAACCTTTAAATGATTTTTGTGTTATATAAACCTATTCATGGCTAGAATTCAGTGATAAGATTATAATAACTACATTCAAAATTAATAACGTAAGCAAATAGTGTTATTAGGTAATTTAATTTAAGAAAATCCGAGTAAATTATTTTTTGTTTAAAATTAAAATATTTATAACGTGTATAATATAAAATATTTGATACATATAAATATATTTTATTATTTTTCATTACAATGTTATTTTTCTAATTTATTTTTTTTGTGCTCTTTTAATGTTGAATGACATTCAAAAAAGGAAAAAGTCCGTAGAACCATTAGCATTTAATGAATATTTGATTATATAAAACAGATTATAAACATTTGTATATCACTTCTACTTTAATATAACAGTATAGCACAATCTTTAAGAAATACATATTCATATAAAAAAGTGGATTGGATACACTTTATGGGTGAAATATTAGCGTTAGAAGTGAATGAGTGATACTATTACTATTCTTTGGTTACATTATTTTAAAATTAAAGCTTATAATAAAATTAATTTAAAAAAACGATTACTCAGTAATGAAAACAATAATTTGTTTAAGTTACGGTTCAAAATAACATTTCTATTTAAATCCTAATAAATAATTAAATTAACCTAAATTCTCATACCTACACTTTAAATATAATATTAATTACATTTATTTCAATAATAAAAAAATTAGTATTAACTTCAAAATAATTCTAACATGTATTTTTTTTTAGCACGGTTCATGATTATTTCATGTACTTTTGCTTTCATAGATTTTTTTTGGGATAGAATTTTAATTTGACTTTTATAATACTTGTTAATATTTTCCATTTTTAAATAAACCGGATAAAAATTAAAAACTTTTTGAATAATTCTAAAAAATTAGTTAAATCATCATAGAAGATATTTTCGCTACAAAAACTTTAATTTTCTTTGAATACACGCAAAATAAAAAAAAACTCGTCGATTCATTTTTCTACAAATTACTTCTTGTAAAACGTTATATTTTTCAACTATATTAATGTATCAGAACTAATTCTTATGCTCGGCAACTATTAAGTTCTGTTTCATATTTTTCTACTTCATTTCATGTTTCACTAACTAATTCAGTACTTGGATTTTAGTTTAAAATTAATGAAATCGAAAAAATTCTTTTTAAACAGAATGTCATCATTCATTTCCTTACAAACCTGATGAAAATTTATTCTTGATGTGAAACATCAGGTATACAATCAAACATCACACCATAATATTTTGCTTCTTTATTATATGATATTATTTATTTGGCTTCTTTAACACTTGATATTATTTTATTTACAATTGTTTGTCCTAGCAAAAATATAATTAAATTTTGAATCGTTGGTGAAAAATAACTAGTACGGAATTTAGATAACATAAAATAAAGTATCAATGTTTCCCAAACAAAGAAGATATTATTATAGAATAATTTTTTCAATAATTTTTAGTTTTATTTTAAAATGGAATTTTAAAATTCACAATTCATTATTTTTTCTATATGTATGCATTTTTCAATTATATAAAATTATTCAAAAGGTTATAGGATTTTTCGTGATTTGGAATAAATTGATTCAAATGCTGTCAATGATTACAAATGTTATTATAAAAGGACATAATATGTATATTATACATAGTATATATAGTATATATAGTATATTATACTAAAGTCATCAGCAAATAAATGCAGTATTCTCACTTCATCATATATAATCTAATTAATATGGATTAAGGACAAATACTATTTCAGGGAAAATGCTTCAGTGATGATTGCTTGTCGGTGCGGAATGCGGTTGTGGCATTATACAGATCTTATGAACGTTTTCTGATGTAGGTAGTAGCAATATCTCCCGCTGACATAGCCCTTCTATTGGTGGAAACACACACCAAAAGTTGTTTGTAATTAAAAACTGACAGTGGTCGGATAGAACGAAGCATAACCAACATAACTGGCAGAGGACATTAAAACCAGGTCATTTATGCGAACTCTTTGATCGCTTTGGGCTATAGTATTACGTTTGTACTTATACTCATATAGTACATTGTTGGTAGCTCATGGTTTTCTTGAAAATCAATCAAATACAAAAAATGTACTGTTAATTATATTTTACTAACATGCTTTTAAACAGAGATTACAGCGTATAATTCAAAGCAAATGAAACAAAGTAAGTATGCATATTATTTCTTAATATTGTATTCACGCGCTAACCTCAATATATTATGAACACGTGATGGTCACACGCATCATGTAGGTTTCATAATATTATTTTATAGTAATACCTAAAGCATGTGTCGTTAATTTCAACATGTAACGGTAACAACGTAACCATAGAGATTATATAGGCACCTAGTGTGTTTGTATAATTAGATAGTATATGACTTCACTATGTTGTTTACATAAATCAAACCGCCCAGAAATTATCAGACATTGTTATTAAGAAATAAGTAAAAATAATGTACATTAGAATCGTATTGTCTCTATTATAATATCACAATTTCGTGTATCATGTACTTTTGCTTGTACTCGATATGCATATAGAATCGTATTAATGGCATAGCTGGCAAACATAAGATATCGGGTACCCATGTAGTGGGCGGTGATTTGAACGAAATAAAATTGAAAAAAGATGAATTAGATGACTCTGCTACCCGTACACAATTTATCAAACACGACGTGTATTAATTATTACGAAAATAATCATTATGCTCGTTCACAAGTAAAGGTGGATAGGTTGTCGGAGTTATCCTATAAATACACCAGATAGATATTTATACACATACACTGACGTAGCTGCGGTAGCGATTCTTCATTATTATAACCGCAGTTTCGGTGTTGGTGGTGGTAATGGTGGAAGGGATATAAAATGTCCGATAATCCGCGCACTACCGTTCGCAAACCCTGTGAATCCGTCCGCCCGTGGGGCACCACCACCGACCCTCTCGCCCGACCAAAGAAAGGGTCCGACCGTTAATACCGTTGGAACTCCCGCTGGCACGCCGCTCCTCGGAGTATTGCGCTGTGCGTTGGAGCGCGCGGGTATGCAACAACTATATTCTATATGACTGCGTTGCCTACCTGTTACCACGAACGAACTGTAACACACGGAAAGCTAGGGGGGATCAGGCGGAAGCGACTAGTATCGGGGTACGTGGTGGTGTGGCGGGGTGTAGAAGGGGAGCGCGGACGACGGCGACTAGGACTACTAGGACCGTGACGACGACGACGACGAGGAAGAATAGAGGAGGACGAGGAAGAGGAAGGGGAAGGATAGGCGGTGACGGTTAAAATGTACGTTCGACTGTTTGCGGTGCCCGGCGCCGGCGCCCTTTGTACTTGGGTGTTGGCCGCGACCGACGACGACGCTCGCTCACACCGCATACGCACACTCAGTGTCACACCGTCCGAGCCGACCGACAATATCATGGCGAGGCAGCAGCTCTTGACCGCCGCGATGATCTTGTGCTGCTGTGGTGGCAGCCTCATCGTTTCCGCGCTCGATATCAACAGACTGTACGGACACATACACTATAAAAGAAATACAGGTACGCTATTGTTTCTTTATAGTTACACACACACACACACTTTCTCTTTATCACTCTATCTCTCCCTTCTTCTCTATCCCACTTTCCGATATGTTTCCCCCTCCTCATTCCAGTGTATATGTATGTAATTCGTTTCGATTTGCAAAATTTCTCACATCTTATTCCACCGTCCCTCAAATAGCAATATAATGCTTATATTTATAGCCTCAATAGCATTTTTTTTTCATATACAATTTAATTTAATTAATAATTTTATTTATCATTCACTTTTAACTTTTTTGTTCTCATCCATTACACAAACGGTTTTTTCCCGTCTAAAATAGTTATTTTCCAAATTATATATGACTATATAGGTACGTACGTTTCGGGAAACACGTGATTATCATTTTATCAAAAACAGGTCTTCAAATATTATTGACCGTAAATATAATTTTCAACACGTTGCTAAACATAATTAATTGATTCTTTAACGTACTTTTAACAGTTGTTTGACTGTAATCATGTATAGGTAATTTGATAATATAATATTAAAATAAATTGATTTACAAAACAGTGCGAAAATTGTGAAATATTATTATTATTATTTATTAAACGCTAAAACGGCAATTTTACATAGTTTACAAATATGGTATTATATACAAATATGAATTTAAATTATTCTATTGTTCTAACAATGATAACTTCAAATGTAAATTTTTTAAAAATGAAATGAGAATGATTGTTCAATGCAATTATTGCATTTTTAAATTTATCAAACTTAATTTAAGAAAAAGAAATTTTCAGATTTATCGGCTTAACTAGGAGTTGAAAACTACAGGGAGGTAACAATTGATAGAGGGCAATGGAAGAAAGTACAGCAATGAGCCTTAACGGCATGTAAAAATGTTTAAAAAAAAAATTGACTTAATTTGTATTTATTTATATAATAATTTGTATACTACCTTTTTATGTGACTAATTATTATATAATTCAATATTATAAAGTGCTTTTTAATATAACTTGCTACACAAAAATAACACTTACACTATTAATGTAAATATTATTTGTTGAATTTATTTTTTCATTATTAAATATTAAACCATATCAACAAAAATTAAGTTTTAATATACATATCATCAACTAATCAGTTATGTAATTTACTTTTTATTTTTATTTATTATGTATATTGAAATTAATAAAATATTAAATTAATTGCCGTTACTGAAAAATGTTTGAAAATAATATTATTATAATGTTAATAAATAATATAAATACAACTAATTTTATATTACTAATAAACTACTTAAGAGACTACTAAAATAATACTCTTGATTTACTTCCGTGTTTAAATAACCAATATAACGTACGGCGTAATGGTTATGCAATTTTAGTACACACATGTGTAGGTTTACAAACTCTATTATTTTAGAATAATTTTAATATACTATTTTAATATAATTATAATATAATTATTACTCAAATGTATATGAAGTGAATTCTTCAGGTAGAAAAGACTTAGTAATTAATAATGATAATTTAATAATTAATTACTAGTTACACATCGTTTATTTTACTTTATAGTTTAATATTAAAATTTTTTAAGTTTACACGGTGTATCAAAAGTCTTCATCCAATTTCAAAAATTTATATTTATATTAAAAATGAAGATATAAGGGTGAAATAAAATAAAATAAAATATATTCTTAAAATAGTCAAGTTTTATTTACTTTGGTTACAAATGTTTTATATGACCCCAACGGTTGCCCGACTCACATCTATACGGTAATCAAATTCTTCTCAAACATTGCTGATCATATCTGGTGTCGCAGCATGCTGTAATCTTTGATTTTTATTTTAAGCTCTTCCAAGTTTGTAGGTAATGGTGATACATACATTTTATCTTTTATGTAGCCCCATAAAAAAAAATCACACATTGTGAGATCAGGGTAACGTGGTGGCCAGGGATAAACTTCGAATGAAACTTTGTCGAACATGCTCGATGTTTTCGTCAGAAGTACGAGGTCGACTTGAGCATTTCTGTGCACACAGACAACCACTTTATTGAAACGTCTGGTGCAACGTCGAATGATTTGAGCAGTAGGAGCTCCAGTTCCCTAAGTTCTTAGTTCTTCGAAAATCACGTTGACAGTTAATGCCGACTCGTACTTATTGAAACGTAGGACGCAAAAGACTTTTTGTTGCGGAGTCGTCATAACGAAACAAACTAACGGTTCCTAGTTCACTAACCATTACGGTGCCAAATTTATCAACTTGATAACTTAAAATAAAATTAGTTATCTAATCTTTCCATTAATACATCGGTCATTAACCTACGATTAACCATTGCCAAACTATATCAATTCGTAATCGGATGAAAACTTCTGAAACATCGTGTATATTATTGTTATAAATATAGGTAAATTAAATCATTTTAAATACTTGAATTATATGAAAAGATTTTATTAGAAAAATATTATACAACAATTCTGTACTTATTGCATAATATTATTTCAACACTCATAATATCTGAAATCAATATCTGTTTTCACAGATAGTAATAATTTAATATGTACTTTAGAATAAAAATTTGTTATTAAAATATTTAATCTTAATCCGAATCCATTAATATAATAACATATAAAATGTAATGAATATTATTTTTTAAAGTGTAAAAGTACATTATAAACGTTTTTTTAAATTTTCTTTAGTTTTCTGCACTTCATTCAAATTATGTGAAAATAATAAAATGTTGTTAATTATAACCTTGATAGGTGTTGTTACTTACTACTTGTTACATACCCCATTGAAAATGCACACGCAATCAATTAATCGATATAATATTCTGTTACACGAAGGTTTTAAAAGTATTCCTACACAGATATTTTTTACCATCTCATATTAGATTAAATATAATGAAAAAATGCAGTTAATCAAATTACTATTACAACGTTATTGTAGTAGAAATAGAAATCACATGGCCAACAATTCCAATCATGATAACCATAATACGTGTGTACAATATTTTTGTATGCAACTCCCTTCTGAAGCTATATACTTAAGAGTCATAATTAATTTATAACTAACGAAAATTATCAATATACTTAAGGGTCATAATTAGTTTATAACTAACAAAAATTATCAATACACTATAGCGGTAACAATCTTTTTTTAAGAATGAAACTTATAATTAGTTATTAATTAATAGTTTTTTCATATTTCCATGTTCTACAGATTGTATTACAATCCAGTATAAAATTAATGGCCAATTGTTTTTGATAGTTTTGCAATTTCGTTGGTCAGATTAGTTGTATCAGTATTTCTAAGTGGTTAGATATATTCTTTTGCTAAATATTAGCTCTTTATTGAATACTTTTAACATTAAATTATATTATGTAAATCAAACGATATGTTGTTTTATCCATTATTTTAAATTTACTTACCATTCAATTCCTTTATGTGTATTTGAAAATACTAAAATATTGTTTGATTTTTAATATAAATGTATCAAAAACTTTAATAATAATTAATAATATTTCAAATGTTAAATATCAACATTATATAATTTTTATATTAATTATATAATTAATATTCGACATTATTTCATCCTCTTTTTTAATTCAAAGTGAATAATATACTTTCACTTAATTGAAATCTCAATGATTTATTTTTATTCTATTAATAGTTAAATTATGCGTATGATAACTTATCTTTATAATTCAGTAAGGTATATTTTTGAATCTAACAATAGTATTTATTGTTATACAAATGGCTGATAAAATGTTCTTTGAAATGTTAATTCGTCAAACTTTTACATGAATCCTATAAATTATAATATACAATATTATATAATATATATCCTGTAAATATTACCTTTAATAGTATTAATTATGAACTAAACCATTTACAAAATAGGTGAATGCTTAAAATATTAATTTATTATTTAAATATACCAACATACAGTAATAAATACATCACTTGTTAACTGTCATGTTATAACAAATTTATTTTCCCTGATTGAGGTGAATATAAAATAATTCAAATTTTAACAATTTTTAATTCAACTACATTGAATATAACTTCATTATATATTTCATGTCACTATAATAAAACGTCCATTATGTGAACATTTTGTATAGAGTAAACTTATATTTTTATTCTATAGAACATTATAAGGATTATAATGTTAGGGGATTGCTATCATTACAATTGAGATTTTACAAAACAAACAAATTATTAGAAAAAGAATATTGCATTTAATCTCATGATTTATAATTATTTTTTTCTAACAAAATTTCTATTTATGTTATTATGATCATTGATTCAAAACTAAACCTAGGCATTGACATATTTTCTAGTTGATAAAATAACACAGCATTATTTAACATACAAAATAGTACTTTCCAATATCCAAATTATAATTTTGCTTAGTTTAGGATTATGTAACATTCATCTAAGGATTAAGAAACAAATCCCCATGATCAATTCTGAACCATTAAGAGATCTAGTTGTCAATTATTTTCGAAACTTATCTGAAATAATACTACAAGACTAAACTCTAGAAGTCATAGTTTTTTTTTGTTTTCATATTAAAGTGTATCGATAAAAAAAAAAAATTGATTTCCAATTACATAATTCTTTTTTATTTTATATTAATATTACACTGGAATTTACAATTCAGATTTGACATTTACCACTTTTATTTGAGCCGAAATAGATGAAAGCCACTGAATGCTATTAAATTTTAATATTTTAATTAATATGTATGTCAGAAGTTATTGTCTTCCTTATTAAATATTATAATATTAAAAATATTAAGTAATTTATTCCAAATGTAAATTATATCCTTAAAGTTGTAGTGTTTGTATTTATAAAAAAATAAAAATTTTATTAGTTTAATAATTGAAATTTTTTTAAAAAGTTTCTCATATAATCATAAGTTATTTGGCTCTTTTAATGAATCTAATCGTATCTCTGTGATTTTTATTTTTTGCTTGTATTTCATATATGATATCACGAGATCTTCTGTATGATTGTACTTATATACAGTTAGTATTATTAAATAGTCATGCTATTTTGAGTAACTAATTTTTCTAACCACTAGTTAATTTTTTGATAATATCTATATTATAGGATCTAAAAATACACATATATCCTCATAGTATCATAGTCTAATTAACATTGATATTAGTACATATATAATGTATCTATATATACTAAATATACTCTATATTCCCAAATATTTATTTCAATTCTCACTTCTGTCAATTTTTGATTATATATAAAACAATGTCATGAAGGAATCAATTAATATTAATTAATTATAAAAAAAAAAAATACCATAAATACAAATCCAAGTATGTATATGCCAGATAAAACCAAAATGCTAATAAAAAATTTAAATTTAAAATTTGTCCACGTAAAATTACTACTCCACTTACTCAATAAAATAACAAATATTTCTATTTAAGTGAACAATTTTAGTTCAATGAAATATACAAGTTTGTTTATTATAGAAAAAATCAATATAATATATATTATATTATATGTATATATATATACATATTTTTAGGCTTTACGAGCCATTTACACTGCCGTCAAAACTATTCCTTCCAATGTTCTCTATCATATGTCTGTTCCCAGTCTATTCCAATGTCTTCTAATAATTCCTTGATACTGTCCTTCCAATTTTTACGCGGTCTACCCCTTGGCCTCGTTCCTTTCACCATATATGCCTATACTCCTTTCAACATGCTTCCATCGGCCCGCCATACATGGCCTGTCAATTCTATCCTTGTCTGTTTGATGAATTAGTCTAAATTTTTCTTTTTGTAGTGCTGGTATAGATGAGCATTAGATCTTATTTCCCATTTCTGTTTCGTATTGTTGAATATGGGTCCGTAAATTTATATATATATATTAAATACTAAAAATAATTACATTATTAAGAAGGTTTTTTAATTCATTAAGTGTATATATTTCATTTATAAAATAAATATTTAAGTGGAATTCAAATCTATAGGAAATTAATTTTTTCAATTACTTTAATCATACTGTAATAAATAGTATTATATTTATATTTTGTAATTTAAAATTATTTTATATACAATATTTGAACATTTAAAAACTTTTGACCTTTTACTCCCTTAATAATGTCGTCTTAAAAATATTAAGTGAAATATACTCGTATACGTCACTATATTTTATAATTAAATTTTAATACATTCAATATTCTATACTTGAATTTTGAATTAACCATAATGACGTGCCAATATTTATTTTTCATTTGAAACATTTATTAAACTGCTTCTGTATATTTTAATAATATATTCACCATAGAAATTCACATAATTTAGGGAATTTAGAAAAACTAATTTTTCACACTGAGTTATAAGAAAATATTTTTTATACGTGATATTTTTTTATATCGAATATTTTCGAATATTATAAACTTTGACGGTTAAAATATATATATATATATATATATATATATATATATATATATATATATATATATAAGCTATTCTAAACACATTTATATCTATATTACTAATATTAACACCTATATTTTACTATATTTATGATTTGTGTGGTTTTATTATTTCAAAACAAACAATTTGTTATGGAAATAAAAAATGTATTACATACAAATTAGATAGGTATAAGTTTTTATAAAACACAATATTCAGCATTTTGAAATACAGCTTGTATATGTTTGAAAAATCTTAATCAATATTTAAATCAAGGTTATATTATTATTGTATAGCATATCATCGTAGAATTGTTAAACATCAAAAGTATATAGCATACAATAAGTTTACTACTAAATTTGGCTATAAGTAATCATCATATAAATTTTACTCTCGCATCATTTTATATCATAATTAAACTAATATTAATGAGCTCATGAATATAAATTTATATATATGTATAACAATAATAATAATATAATAACATATAATATCTAACATTTTTTTGTTATTCTCTTATTCATATTACATAATTCAAGTAAATTCTATAGTAACGTCAATATGTCCTATACAATTTTAATATTTATCATGTATGAATGTATGTATATATAATGAAACAGAAATAGTAATATTTATTTTAAAATATATTTGCAAAAATACTGTTGAACAATGAATATTTATGGTATGTTTGATACAAAATAATATGATGAATATTAAAAGTATTTTTCATATACTATTTTCCCATTATGAGTAAAAATATCAAATGTTGAAACTCCTTCGTAGAATTTCTGTTTTTTTTTTTTAATTTTTTTTTTTTTTTTTTACTAAATCCAATTTGAAGTAGCTTTTTTTAAAAAAAAAAATTATATATGTCAGATGATAGTGATTTTGTTGGATTGGTGTCATATTCTTATCGTATCACGTTTCAATGTGCGGTAAATAATAAGAAATAACATAAATAAATATTCTTACTGTATTCATGTGCATATAACACGCAAACTTTATATTTTCCTTTAATCTAAAGTATGAAATTATCAAAAAAATAAATATTTCTAGTATCTTTAGTTTTGAGTTATGACACAAACTAATGCAATTTTCGAGCAAAATGTTTAAAAGAACTATGAACATTTTTTTAAAAAAAACTCGCAGAATACACACAAAAGTCTCTTATTTTGTTTCACAACAAAAGTTTTTCACGCAAGATAAATTTTCCATATGTTTTTCAAAATTGTCTTTCTTATTGTAATAGCATAACTACGTAAATAGTTATGTATAAAATTTATAAATGAATAAAACAACCCACTACCAGAGCAGCAGAGCGTATAATAAAGTTGCTTTAGGACACGGTTCAAACTTTATGATAATTATTCTATATTTTAACTGTCATAGTTAATAATGTAGACTATTTCAGCACTAGGTACTAAATTACTGATATTTATTATTTTAAAATGACTAAATATACAGATAGAAATATGTAAAAGGAATGAGGATATAAGTATAGTTAGTGAAAATAACTATAGTTTATCACAATCGGTGATAAATAAGATATACTAACCATATTTATGTAATTACTGACTAGAAGATGAATCAGAAAATACATATAAGAAATATTAATAATAACAATAAAAATATAAATAAATAGAACATATTGTTAAGATATATATTATATAATACAGTTTTTTGTACTAATTTTTGAAAATTATTATCATTAGCCTAGCATTTTAGATTACTAGTATCATTGTTATTATAACTAACATTTATCTGAAAATAAGTATTTTTATAAATATTTATCTTTATAAGTGAGAATATGTTATTTACTTGATGTTAAGTACATATTTGAATAATTTATATAATTTAAAGTATGCTTTATACAAAAAACTATAGTATAGTTATGTTACAATACACGTACAGTCAAAGAGTTTATACAGTAATATAGTATAAATATATTATATTATTTAATTAAATGTCGAAATAATGTAAGTATTATGATTGTAAATAAAGATATATGTATCTAAATGTATATAAAATTTTTATCTGTAAAACGAAAAATTAGAATTCATAGAACAAATAATATATACGGACAATATTATTATACTAAAAAAGTAATCAATATTAAATTACTATACTTTTTAAATACTTAAAGATGTATAGTAAAAATTAATCAAGATATTATCCTTAATAATAATTAAAATATGTATGTTTAATAGATAAAATAATATATCAGTATACAAATAAAAAGTGCACTTTTAATATGTCCTTTTTATATCTGATGATGATTTTTAATTTAAAGCCGATCGTATATTGATATATATCTTATGCAATAATCTTTTAGGCAAGAACTTTTTTACATTTTAGTTTTTAATACTTTATTTTTGTTAAAATTATTCAAAATATTCAATATTTTTAAATAAATAATTCATTATACATATTAAATTATTCTTTGTAATTAATTCTTTAAAATAAAATATTTCAAAATTGAATTTTAGAAACTTATAATATTTATTAAAGCTTAACCACAGTTTTTTTTTTTAATTTTAGGAGAACCATGCCACCCATATGAACCATTCAAATGTCCTGGAAATGGTGCTTGTATTTCTATTCAATATTTATGTGACGGAGCTCCCGATTGTCCAGACGGTTATGATGAAGATGCCAGACTTTGCACTGCTGGTAAAGTTTAACGTAATTTTTAACATTTATAAAGATACGAGTATAATGTAATAATTATTTACGTAAGCGATTTTCAAGTTTTTACTGAAATAATTTCTTATTCATATAGAGTAAATCATGTACTACAAGATTTAAAAATCATTTTGTCACTGAACACTCTATTAATTTATGTCTACATAATAGTGCGAATACTGGTAAAACCTAGAATATACATTATTGCTTGGTCAAACCCCAAATGATTTTAGCATTTCGGGATTTTACCAACGAATTTTGGTAAATCTTAGGGTTAATAATCAATGATTGTAAAAGTCCGAAATTATATATTTTTCTAATTCTGTGATAATTCTTACCTATATAAATTGACTTAATGTTAAAATCTTTGTTTATGCTATTAACTTCATATATAATATGGTGTCTACCTATATGGCCTGTTGCAATATGAGCATAATATAACTCATTATACAGAACATAATAATATATTACTTCGAAGTCATCATTCATCAGAACATCAGTTTTTTTTAACCAATCAAATTAACAATATCAAACCGATAAGTCGTTGATAGTGAACTGTTTTTTTTCACATTAACAGATTTAGCTACTTTAACTTCTCTTAAAGATATATTATATTTTTTCTCAGTTAAATAAAAATAATTTTTGTTATCTTTTAACTCCACAACATCATTTAAAATTTCATAAAATCGTATTGTAAGCGACATATTGAATACTATTTATACTTGTAATACTAACCACGACAATTGCAAAACGAATACTGCTTATAAAATTACTTCTTGCAATTGGCCCCAATATAAATTTATTAATTTAATCTTCTATTAAATCTGTTCCAAATCTTAACCATTGAAGACACATTAATTAAAACTTTTATTATAATTTGTATCACAGTCAATAATTAAATTAAAACTATTGATATCAACACAAATGCACAAGAATAAATACAAGTAAGAATTATCACAGAATTGGAAAAAATATATAATTTCAAACTTTTATAATCATTGATTGTTAATCCTAAGATTTACCAAAACTCGTTGGTAAAAGTCCGAACTTCTAAAATCATTCCGTGTTTGACCATGCAATAATGTATATTCTAGGTTTCACCGGTATTCGAACTATTACCATAACATATATATATATATATATTCATATGATAATTATTCATTAAAATATTAATAATTTATTATTATAAAGTATATTCAATATTTGCTGTGTAGTATACATTTTTGATATTATTAACTTATAATAAGTAAAATTTAAAAATATTTATAACAAATTTAATACAGCTTTGTAAACAGTAAATATAATCAGTCATTGTTTATTAACTACACATTTTTTTTAAAATATAAATTTATTCATTTATTATATCAGGTCTATATAAAACAATTGTAATAACATTAATGAACTACGAATTGATTATGTTTCAAAAAACAAGAATATTATTATTTTTATATTACAATGTTACGTGTAAAATTTCAATTAGATTAAGTACTTTTTTTCATGATTAATGAACCTATAATAAATTATTCAAATTATCATAAGTCGTGGTAAGTATATAAGTTGTTTCTTTGTATAAATGTATTTTCATTTTTTATATAAAAAAAATCTATATAATTCAGATAAATAACATTTAATATGCAAATAAAAACGTAGACATGATTTAATTTAAAAACATAAACTTCTATTGCATTTAAAGAAATTAAATTTAGTTAGATATAAAAATAAATAAATATATATGCATATATGTTTTATCTGAAAACTATTTTTTTATTATCATTTAATTATTTTTATTAAATCATTATGCATTAATTGATAATACATTTTTTTATTTGATTTACAGCTAAAAGACCTCCGGTCGAAGAAACAGCAAGTTTTTTACAATCACTTTTAGCTAGTCATGGACCAAACTACTTGGAAAAATTATTTGGCAGCAAAGCAAGAGATGCATTGGAACCATTAGGAGGTGTCGAAAAAGTTGCAATCACACTTTCTGGTTTGTAAATCTTTATTTAAGTTATTAATATGTATGTATAGTTAAATTCAAAGAAGAAAAATTGAATTTATACTGTTGTTTAAAAACTAAATTTACCGTATTTTTATTCTAATAAATACAACTAAACAGGTTCAACATATTATATTTTATTTAGAAACAAAAGTGTCCAACAGGTAGATCAACTTGCTAGTCATGCTTATGGCATAATAATAAATATATCTCGTCTGCAATGAGTCTCAACTATCAACGGTGGACCGTAAATACTTAATAAAACGATTTTATTCGAAATTTCTCCAAGATTATTACTTTAATTCATTAAAAGAAGAACATATTAAAAATCATTATATTTTATTTAACATAATTCAATAACAAAATAAAATTAACCTTTTATCAGTTTAAATGAAAAATTCAAAATATTTGAAGTTTTTCAACCGAATTCATTAATAAATTTCACTAACGAACAAATTGTTGACTCTCCTAATAAATTAGTAGAATATTATTATGTTGATTTATCTAATGTTCTTGCTAAACAAATTTTATTGTTTGAATCTTATTTTAAAGAAGAATTTTTAAATCGAACATTGGTAAAAGAAATTATTGAATTAATTAATACCACTTTAACTACATTTTCTGAAATAAGTACAATATTTATTTTATAGTAGACACTCTCTGTAACAGTCGCTACAGCGAATCGTTCTTTTTCCAAAATAATATTAATAAAAAATTATTTACAAAGTACAATGTGTTAAAAAGGTTAAAAGGACTTTGAATTCCATCCTATTGAAAAAGATCGAGCACGTCAGTTAATTTTAACAAAAATAATTGACAATAATATTGAAAAAAATATGCAAACGAAACTCAGTAAATACGAGTATATTATTAATACTATGTAATTCGATCTTATTTTGTGTGTAATTTAAATTTCAATAAAAATATATAGTAACTATTGATTTGCATAAGTTTTTACTATTTTAGAATAAAAATACTAATTTAAAATTTGAATTTATGTGTCGATATTTATATTATTTAGAATTAAAAAATTTAGTGGTCCTTTTTTACTTTTACACACATGCCCATCTTACATATGAACCGCTACTGGAGCTACAAAAGTAGTGATTGTGATATTGTGGCAAAATAGATACAAATGTAAAAAGTATAATACTATAGAGTAAAGAGAAAAGTTTAGGAAAATAGTAAAAAATCTCGTTAAGTATGGATAATGTCGATATGGGTTTATTTTTTCTTATTTTTTTTTTTTTTTTTTGTAGCAAAAATATAATTGTTTTAATTGTGAGCTTAGTATTTTTTTTAATTGAAATAATAATTTTCATTAATATTTTAAGTTCATATATATATATATATATGTTTGTTATATTTTATACGAGTATATGTTGGATTGACACAAGGTGATTTAAAAAAGGTCCCTATTTGTATTTTATAACAGTAGGATAATGTGACTGTGTTAAATATACAGTCGTTGGTTTGAATCTGGCATCTGACGATTTCGTTCTCCAGTGCGGTGTGACCATCTGGAGAGAAGCAATTTAATTACTAATTAGATAATTTTTTAAACTTATTAGCAACTAAGACAGAAATAGTCTAGTTATTTAAATATTATATTACAAAAATATAAAAACAAAAATATTACTACAAAGAATAAAATATTTTATTTAAACAATCCGTTATACAAGAATTAATAAATTTAATTCATAGAAACTGGGAAGAAGTGATAAATTATATTTTAGTATTTAAATCAAATTATAATCAAAGTATACTTGATAAAATAACCTACGTAATAAGTTAAACGTTTATGACATTTTAAAAGCTAAAATATTTTAACATAATTAAATTTAAATATTTTAATTAATTATTGAGTTATAATAGTATTATTAAATTTGTTTATTTACAGAATCGCAAACTATTGAGGATTTTGGGGCTGCTCTTCATCTAATGAGATCTGATTTGGAGCATTTACGTTCGGTGTTCATCGCTGTAGAAAACGGTGACATCGGTATGTTAAAGAGTCTTGGCATTAAAGATTCTGAACTAGGTGACGTGAAGTTTTTCCTAGAAAAACTAGTCAACACTGGTTTTCTAGATTAATTGACCAATAATATATCGGAATTGTATACAATTCTAATCCTCAATAATTTTCTATTCCTATTTTATTCTATATCCATCCAAGATTCCAAAAAATATTTATAATTTTATCCATTCTTTTGATCACGAATTTTGTATTCTATAAATTACTTCCCTATTTGTTTTCGGTCAATTAAAACAAACTTATACTATTTTAATCGTGCATCAATTTTGAATCACAATACATATCAAAATAAACACTATATACATATCATAATGTACAACTTTAAACATATCTTTTTATTATTAAATATTTATTATAATTATTATTATCTAGTTTTACAAATTGTACTACATAATATATTAATACGTGTTAAAACTTAAATATATAATTTATTTAAACAACGTGTGCCTAATGAGCCATTATATTATATATGTTTTAATTTTTAATTGTGCTATTTTATATCCAATTTTGCTTGTATAACGTATTATTAAAGCGTTCAAATTTTCACTTTAGTAAAATTTTATCTTAAATTCTAAGTAATATTTTACGGCCCAACTTCAAGATTCAACAACGGACAAACATGTTTATAATTGTTGTATGACTTAATAAGTGATATTCTAACTAATGCGTGTGTTTTACAGTCAATTTTATCGTTGTTTATACCATAACAATATTTTCTTAAGCATTTAATTATTATTCAATATTTAATAATCATTCAAACATATTTTAAGTACCTATTAATTAAAATACATTTTAATGCTCTCTATCCATAATTCAACACATATATAGATAATTATTGCGATATATTTCGCAGAGTGTTTCAGGTAGAATATAATACTATTATACGTTTTACATCGTAATATTTATTCAAGACGAAAATTACCGGCCTATATTTACTATATAAATGAAATGGTAAAACTTATCTAATAGGACCTTGTTTGAAATTCATACCTCAGAACAGCATTCTGATTTGACTATACTTTTTTAAAATAGAAAACTATAGACATTCAAAATTGTAGTTGGTTCTAATTAGACAAGTTTCACTATATAGACCTTTGAAAATATTTAAGTACATAACAGATACAATTATAGATATTTCCTCAGCAAGTATTTTGAATAATAAAATACCTAGGTATTATGTTTTCATTAAAAGATTTTACTAAAAAATATCCAACAAAAATAATTAATTAAACTTTATTTCTGAAACACACTGTAAACAATTAAATTTTTTATATATACCTATATGTACCATTCTACATTTCTTAATCTAATATTTTTATGTTATGCTCATTTGGCACATTACTTCAGTAGAACACCAAAAAATATAGTATTATAAATTATTTATATTTGTGATGATTTTTTATACATTTCCCATCAAAATTTAACTGTAGGATATTTTATTGAGTGAGGTAAAAAGTATATTACATAGTAATAACGATAACGACTTTGAATTGACACAGCATACATCATATAAAGAATATATTTTTTACCTACTCAATTTAAATTATAATTATTTATTTTTCTTCTTTTTTTCTATACGATTTATATACGTATTTATTCTATATAGACCTAATAATAAAACTTTTATTTATATCCGATATAAAATGGTATTTATAAAATATAATTACCGCGTAAGGAATCTATTATATTATATATTCCATTAAAAATTAAATTATTATGTACATTGTGTTATTTTTTTATTTGATGTTAAGTATTTATTGCCTTTATTTTTCAAATAATGGACGTTTTTAAATTTCAGAGGTTTGTAGTCATTTATTTTTAATTAAAAAATATAATCCAGGATATCTGAGTTCTTGAAATACTAACATATTAGAACATCATTAGTAATATATGGAAAAAATCTTGTGAAATAAGAATTAAAATATCCAAAATCGCACACATGTATATTAAATATGTTGATGGAAACATCTCAATCATGTTATGAAATTAATACTAAAATAAAGAGCTCAAAATCAGACTAAGTATAAAGGAAATAATTTGAGAAGTAAACTAAATATAATACTTATTTATATGCTTATAAATTAAAAAAACATATCAAGGAGTTATTTTCCTACCTATGAGTTTATAATGTTTTTATTTAAAAATGCGAAGTACAAATAGGCAGTTGCATTTTAAAGAATTCTATTCATAATATTTATAATGATTTTAATTATAATAATTAACCGTTTAATTTGGTCATAACGGCCTTTTCCAATTAAAATCTTTCTTAGCCACCTTTTTTTTTATCATCTAATGTTGTTTACCTTAGAAATATTTTACCCGTTCACAAAAAATCATTTTTTTACCTGATTATTATTTCTTCATATTATTAAACTATGCTATTGAAACTGCACCTAATAATTTTTATGTTTAATTCTAGTTCCTACCAACAAAATACATTAAATACTGATATATATATATATACTTAATATTATTATTTATTTTTTATTTAATTTCCTCCCACGATTATGGCAGTATATTTACTATACATTTTTCGATATTGAAATATTTTTAAATATATATTTAAGATTAAATTATTTTTAAAAAATATGGTTGAAAGATATATTTAAATAATGACTTAAATATACTACACAAATAATTTTTAATTAATATTATAGTTAATTTTTCATAGCCATAACTATACTGAGTATAAAAATAACAATATCCAAACATTTAGTTATTTATGTAAATAATGAATATATACCTATTACATAAATTATCATAAATGTATTACACAAATAATGCGTACAAAGTATACGGCCCTTAATTAATCATTGTCATTTTAGTATCAAATATTTCTCATTGCATTGTAGAAGTTTAGTTTGTATAATATGTGTTGATAAATTATATTGTTACTATAAACCTGCATTTATGCAACATATTTTAATTTATAGAAATTTTCAGGAATGTGATTTTGTCAATCATTAATCATTAATTGAAAATCGTTTTTTTTCCAAAACTAAAGTACAATAATCTAAATTGATAGACTTTTAAGTTTACACCTATAGATAGACATTTTGTTTGTCGAAGTTTTTAACAATTTCCAACCTAAAAACTTATAAAAACCTACATAATTTATAAGCTATAATAAAAAATATACGGAACCTTTTTTAGTTATCAATATTAAAATCGTAATATTGCATGTTAAGTTTATACAGTCGAGTCGCAATAACTCGAACCTCGATAACTCAAAAAACTTGACAACTCGAATTGTGTTTTATTCCTCTATAAATTAATTAGATATCTTGAATAATACATATCTTGAAGTGAATTTTTACCCCTCTTCAACTTCGAGGTATCACGACTCGACTGTACAAACTAAATAGTAATCTTCAGTGTATACTTATGTATAAGGTATACCCAAAATAAGAAATATTAATATTATTTATTTTATTAAACAACAATTATCGAATTTCCAAATGCGTTTTTTCGAGAACAATAATACATTGGTTTCTAGTTTAAAATACCAATACATCAATATTCATCCGTCACCCAACCACGGAGTTCCACCCAACCTAAAAGTTCCATCGGTTTTTAAAAAATTTATCTCATTTATTTTGACGTAATTTGTATTACGGGAGCACTCGATAGCAATGTTATTTTATTAGTCGTAGCCATTTTCTCAAGATAAACGTTTTCCTTCACTGTCCATTTTCCTCAAAAAAAAAAAAAAAAAAAAAAAAAAGGTTGGTTTCCATTTTCCTCCACATTATTTTTGACTAAATTATGTCTATTATCCTCCAATATTTTAGACAGTGTTGTAGGATCATATTTTGCGTGTATTTGTTGATTAAATTCTGGTTGCATTCTTATCGGCTAGATAAGATACATACATATAACATATGGACATATACGTATATTGTGTATCATAATTTATCACTGATTATCAAGATTTCACTTATTGAGTGAGACAGACACACAGATACGAGTATACGATATACTCGTATCAATAAGACTATATTTTTAGTAGCTTACTATACGTCGAATAGTGTCTATAGTGTGTTGTAGAGTTTTTGTGAATCTATCAAATTTTAATTTTTAACATGTCTGAAAAAGTGAAGTTTTTTGAAAGTTCTCGAGGAAAACCTTTGATAGTTCATAGTAGTTACAAATATTTTTTAGCGTATAAGTTAAAATCAGAATCTGGATTATCACGTTGGCGATATTGTTTAACAACTGGTCAAGCAGTTATATACATAAATATAAACTGAAGAAATAGTAGCCGATAATTTACACAAAAATGTACATAATCAATTGCCATTACCAAAAAAAATAAATAGTGAATAATGCATGTAAGCGGAAAGCAATTAACGATTTATTCTTACGACCAAAAAAAGTAATATTTAACGAATTAAAACAAAGTTCTTTTGGAGGATAATATTCAAAAATTATTATAATTATTATTATTATTTTTTTTTTTTTTTTTGAGAAAAATGGACTGTGGAGGAAAAAGAAATATATTCGTAATCTTAACTATATAGTTGTTACTTACAATCGGGATCGTACCCAGGAATTTTTCATGAGGGGATCCAATATTTTTATTTTATCTGTTCTCCAATTATAACTATAGTTTAATTCAATATCAACAAATTACTGTTAATAATTACGAGTATGGTTTATACATTATAGGTATATAATATAATCTATAAACTTAGTATATTGAAAGTAATGGGATATTAAAATACACTATATACTATTATTATATTATTATACAATTCACTATTAAATCGTACGCCATTGCTTACAATGCTTTATAGAAATAAACACTTTTATATTTTAATTTATGCATATATCTGATTTCAAAATTTTAGAAAATAATTTATAATTCAAGTATGATACACATTAAATACTATAAGGCCAGATCCAAGAGGGGAGAGTTTATGGAATTTAGGTCCTCCTCTTTAAACATGTTATATATTATGTAATTTTGTAATAAATACTCATGTTTGGTATGGTCTTTAGCAGGGATGGCAAATCCATGGCACGCGAAAAGATTTACTATTATATATTATATAATTATTATTATTATTTATTATATATTATTATTATTATTTACCTAAACTAACCTTTTTATACTAATACATTAATTATAAAATCAAATTACAATATAACAAAATATAATATTTTTAATATTTTTTTCATGGCACGCTTTATATAAAAAAAAAAAGGTAATTTTGGGCACGCAGTGTTCAAAAGGTTTGCCATCCCTGGTCTATAGTATGTCTTTAATTAGTCCAAAAACTAATGAATTTATTAATATTTCATTCATAAATTTATCAATTTGATTTATATACATATGCAGAGCCGTGCCGTTAAGATTTGATGCCCAGGGCAAAATTAAAAATATTCGCACCCTATTTTATTTATCATTAATTATAAATCATTTTCAATATTTTCAATCATAAAAGCATTTAATTTCTATTTATTTTATTTTTTTTTTTTACAACGTATTTTTAACATTGATTTGAAAAAAAACTAAAGTTCATTGCAATAGTAGTTATTAAACCATATTATTGGTATAATACCAATAGGCAATAATTTGTATTTGATTTTTATTTACTTTCGCTTATCATACCCCGTGTGCTCAACGTGCAATCGATTTTGAGATAAGGAATACGATAATTTATTATAAAGCCAAATATTACAAGAATAAAACGTTGCGGTTGACTAGTTGCTATTACTAGAACATTGTCGAAAATATTTTGTTCTGAAAAAATTTGTAATGGTCCAAAATGATTGTAAAACAATAATCTTTCTTACATATTTTATTTATGTAAAGATTAAAATATTATAAAAAAATTTTTTGGTGCCCCTTTACACCATGCGCCTGGGGCGTATGCCCCCTAGGCCCCCCCACGGTACGTCTCTATACATATGTATTTACTAAAATTATTTATTTTGTCTTTCTGTAAATAAAAATTAGCCTTCTTCCCATTTCATATTTCTAGATCCACCCTTAAACATGGACGTAACTTGAGCCCAAATATTGGGGATGCTGAAATTACTGAAAATAAAATAAAATTATATTTTACTGTAATTACTATAGATTATATAGATCTGAAAAAACAGGAGTATTACATTTGAACTTAGGGGTGCTAAAAACCCTACTGCGCCCCCCCCTAGTTGCACCTATGCCCCTTAATACAATAATATAATTTGCTTAAAATTATGGATTATTCTCATAAGTATGTTTTCTATTACATAACCTTATTAGTGTCTCTAAAACTTCAAAAAGTGTTTATTTATTAATTTGTAAATCAATTAAACACACTTTCAATAATTTATAAATATTTCGAGTTTGTATAATAACTTGATTAAGTTAATTTAATCAAAACACGTAAAATTTTTTTTATTTATTTTATATTATGTTTTTAAATAAGTGGTTACTTGGAACTTATGAAAAACAAACTCAAACAACGGAGTAATTAAGCATTGACAGTGAATGCCTTCATAGTATGCCATTCAAATGAACATTTAAAATTAAAATTATTTTAAGTAATAAAGTTCAAAATGAAAATCAATTTGACGTATTTATGTTATAGATTACCAGAAAATAATGAGTTTTGTCTTGAACTGAAACAACTCTCCCCTTCGAACCAATTTATAATTTTTTTATCATGGACAATATTTTACGTGCATAATAATAGTTATCGAAATATGTACTTTAACTAAAACTGAAAAAATATTTAAAAATAGTTTGGAAAATTGGTGTATATTTGGAACAAATCCGATTAAGTCAGGGAAATTTCCAAGAATTTTGATTTGTAAATTGTTAAAACCAATTTTCGATTATTTGCAATTAATTTTCAAAATATTGGCAACATTTTTAAATGATTAATTAATTTAGAGGGACTAACTTCACAAACATATAATAATTGTTGTTCCTAACCCTTTATTTATTTTTCTAACCAAAGTATAATTATTTTTATTTATATAAAATAAACATAGTTTCAATAACTGTATTGCATATTTGGAAACTTGCTATAAAAAAAGATGCAATACAAAAAAAATTTGTATTTATCAAATTATTGTTAAATACACACTTTTCACTTTATAGGAGCAGTGGGCTCTTAAAAATTTATATTTCTAAGTCTCATACTTTTAGTTTAGGTATCCATTAATCTATATACGTAAACCAAATTATAATTTAATAAGTCTGTAGATTAGAGGATTAATAATCTGGAGCAACGATTCTTAACCTTTTGTAGATCACGGGCCTCAAATGAGAGATTTTTAGAAATTGTTGGCTCCCTTACCAATTTTTTTTCGAATTAATTTTTTTTTATAAAACATTTCATGTTATTAAAACCAAAACTGTAATAATTATTTTTGTTACACTTAATTTTTCAGTTAACTTAAATTAAATTATTTT